TAAGATACTTTCCTGAACTTTATACATACAAAACATGACAGATACAGATGCACACACAGAGACACACATGCACGTATGTGTATAGGTTTCTATGTCTGGCAGAGTATACCATCTTCTGATTTATGGTGGTACCTAGATAGAGATTTTTGTGTTATCAATGAGGTCAGTCTTTCCACTGTATTTACAGGTGTTACTTGTAAGAAAAAAGTGAGGAGGATTTAGCTTGTATTTTGGGAGGAATGCCACAAGTATCAGCAGTTCAATTAATTTTTGTGTTTGCAAAATTAATTTACTAGAGCAACCTCCAAACTTTTGAGTCCCAACCATCTTCACAAAGAGCAAGCTCTATAGCTCTTGTAGTTTCTTGCATGAAAGTAAGTTGTGTATTATTTGTTCCTGCAAGATTGATCAATGGTTTTGTCCATTTCATCAGAAAAAATGTAAGGGCCTGATCCTATCACAGTTGTATACTAAAACTTCAGTCAATGTCTGTAAGCCAAATCCTGCTCAGCTTACTCACATGGGTATCAGCTGGCCTGATTGATTTTACTTCCCAGTTATAAATAAGCAGCAAATTCCTTATGGTTAATTGACTCTTTAATATCACCATAAAAAGCAGTGTGAGATCAGAATCAGCCCTAGTGGGACTATGTACACTCACAAAAAATTAACCAGAATTTGCCCAGTGGAAATTCTGGGCATACAAAGGAAGAATTGCAATTTAACAGAAGGTTATCCTACATCAAATATCTCTGTTACAACATCTCTGTTCAAGAAATCCTGCAGCAGTTAAAAACTCTTACAGTTTCCACCAGATTTGCAGCATCGACAAAAGAGTAACACATCAGATTTGCTTTGTATACCAGGAGACTCTTGTCCTTTCTGTTGCTCTTTTCTAGATTTAGCAAAATTCAATGGTGGTGTTAAATCAATTTTTTTTTTTTTTTTTTTAACTTTCAAGGGAGAAAAGACTGACAAAATTGTGTTTTCTAGGGAAGGCTGTGTGTGTAAATGAGAAACAGTGGATAGCAGCGGAGTGATCTCCTGTGGCCCTGCTAGTACAAGCTTTCCCCATATTGTCTCCTGCTTTTATATTAATTACAACTTGCATTATCAGCTGCAAGTCTGTAGCCCAGCAAATAGAAAATACTGCCCCTGGAGACCTAGCTTCTTGTATCTATTTTTCATCTCCTTCTATTGTGCTCTACTCAGTATTCACTGCTTTTCTCCTGGTAACACTGCTCTTTAACACAATTAACTAAGAGCAAGAAGAGCACATATTTGACTCCCAATTATTAAAACTACTGGGAATAGATACATATGTGCTATTTACCTTCTATGATATCTGGTATTAGTTTAGGTCATATGTGTGTGAAAATTTTATAGTATGCAAACACACAAAACAGGCAGCTGCATTTTGGCAGACATCATCTACACTCTTCAAAGTGTTTCTGCAAAATATAGTACCAAACTTGCAGGAAAATATGAGAAGCCATGCTAACAGTTTATGTAATTTGTCTTAAGCTATCTGGGTTTCATTGGTTTGGTTTTTTTTTTTGCTTGGTTTTGTTTTATTTGGTTTACGGTGTTATAGCTTACCACAAATTTAATTGAAATCAATAGAAAAATCGCAATTAGTGTTATTTGGCTTAAGGTACCTAAACTTTACTGATAAAGTGTTTCCAGTGAAGTACATTTTAGATGTGTCATTTTTTTTTGTGAAGACATGCATAAAATAACTACTTATGATTAGACATTTGACCAAGAAGCTTTTCTTGAGGGATGCAAAGTTGCAAATAGTCTAGGAGAGAAAAAGCGAAGCTCACTGACAGGTGCAGTGATCTCAGTGCAATGCAAAAGAACACTGGCTTTTTATGAGTTCATAAATTCCACCTCTAGATTTATTTGTCATTTTTTACAATATTACAGTCTAGCCATTTCCCTCCCTTTCAAATTCCTCCAACATTCTACACTCTCATCTTGTAAATATCCCATCTTATTATTTCTTTCCTTCAACAAAATTCTGCCAAATTGCTTCCCCAAGAAAACTGTGTCACAAAAAATACATTGAATTCCTAATCAATACAGCCTGTCTTTCTAAAACAGGATCTACAAACTGAGGTCAAGAACAACTCAGCCTGGTAGAGACAGCAAGTGTTTTCAGCTGCGGGAATTCTTATTCAGTGATCCTTTCCAAATTTGTTACGGTTTTGAAACAGAAAGGCCGGTCTAGCTTTTGAAATACTGTATGATTGGTTTTGGATGACATTTGCAATAAAACATAGCTGAGGTGTTACCAGTTAATTATTGTAATTTTCATATGTGTGATAAGGAGCTCCAACAGCAGCCAGCTTAAGAGAGCCTGCAGTGCATAAAATTAACATAACTCACTGTGTTCCCTGAAAAGTTTAGCCTAGGTGAACATGTTGCAATTATTACATTTTCTAAAAGGAGGTTCCAACCTGATGTTGTTGGAGGGCTAAACTCATGCTATGCTATTGTTTCTTTCCTTTTTCATGTATTTCTTCGAGCTCTTTATCTGATTACCATCCGGCAAACAGCTGACGCTAAGAGGCTGCAGAGGGCTGAAGAGCTCCTGTCTGCTGTTTGCCTTCAGCTTGAAGCTATTTGAGTGGCTTCCTAACTCTGAGATAAAAAGAGGAGCTCATAGACACAACTGTGTTTTAATCCAGGCTGTAGAGAAACTTTCTCAGGTTTTGCCTTTTATTTCTATCTGAACTTTTTCCCAACCTTATTTTCAACTTTTGTTTGTTTTAATAACATCCAGGCTGCTTGAACTTTCAAGACCTCTCATCTTTCTTTTTGTGCTTCTTTCCACCTGACTCTGTAAAATGATGGTAAATCTTTGTTTATTTTAATGAAATTGTGAGGGAGTTGCAGTATTAGTGGTGATTTCTGAGACCTAACCAATACAAGTCTCAAGGAATATAAAATAATATTATTTGGTGGCTCTGTGTGTGGTGTTGTGGTGTTGTTTTTGTTTTGTTTTGTTTTTTTTCTTCCCCCTGTTGTGGATCTGTGTGAGGAAAAGCAGATCAGTGTTTGGGGGGTGGGGGGTGGTTTTGTGCTGCTGTGTTGACAGGTTGGGTGAATTTCAGATCCTGGCTTGTCTCCTGATTTTACTCATGTCTTCCTGCAATGGAGCCATGTATGTGGGTGCACGTGTAAGGTGAAGGGGATTTGGATTCTTCTTACCCTTTGGTCACCTAGGGCTTTACTGTGAGGCTTTTGAAGTCATGGATTCTTCCCTTTGTCTCTGCCACGATCTGGGTCAGGCCAGTTAGATTTATGTTACTGGGTATTGTAGCAAGCTGTTATTTGGCAGTTCTATTTTGCATTGCTATAGAGCATGTGGTACTAATCAGTGCTAGAAGATTACTTTGAGATGTTTCAATATATATTTCGGGACCTGATTCCAATCATACACTGAATTGTACAATGGGTAAATCAATTGATTTTGTTGAACTTATTCCTACTACATGTTGGGGTAGATGAGGTCAGAATCAGTCCTGCTCAAAGAATTGATCCAAGTTTGTTCCTTGCTGCTTTCAAGATCTCCTTATGCTTTAATAGTCTGGTGTTATTTCATAATGTAGATTTAAAACACAAACTTTGGTAGTGTTGTTGTTTTTTTTTTGTTTTGTTTTGTTTGCTTGTTTTGCCCTTTTTTTTTGTTTGTTTTTGGAGGGGGATTTGTTTGGTTTATTGGTGAATTGTTATAATGTGCTTGATTTAAGTTGTCACGCACAGGTGACAAGTAATGCAGGTCCAGCCACTAGTCTGATCTGTTTCATGTGTTCTTGCTCTCCTTTTCTGCCAGAGGAAATTCCATCTCTTGCCTGCCTTCATGTGGTGCTGATAAAGCTCTTCCTGTACAGTAGAATTCCTGTTTTCCTTTAAGCAACAGCAGGGTATTGGGAATGATCAGGAAAGGGGAGGAGGACAGGAGGAGAATACACTCAGCAAAGTAGCACAAAACTGTAACATTGAGTTCTCCTCACTTACCCTTTTAAATAGAAGCTCCTCACTCTGGGAAATAAAATACTCAATTAAATGGGAAACTTGCATGAAATGTGTGACTAAAGTACAGAAGTTGAGGTCTTACTTAGCTAAGCTTGCAAACTTTGTATGTTTTATTTCTGCCTTCCCTTTTGTTGTGTTTTATGCATAGTAATGGAGAAAGAATTACATAAAAACCACTATACACATTATTTTATATAATCACCTGGTGGTTATTCTTGATGTTACTTGTAAGTGAACTGTTAGAGTGATACATCTAAGAAGTCTTTTGAAATGTGTCATATCTAGGTGGTGATAGGGGGTGAGGAAGTATCTTTCATGGTATGTAATGTCTTTCAGAGAAAACTCACTTTTTCTCTCACAACTTTGCATTCACTTCAAGTTTTTCCAGCATTCGAATGGATGAGAGAGAGAGTAAGGTGTGAGGATGTGCTCCTCTCCCATGTATGTTCTCCTCTACTTTTTGAAACAGTTTTCCTCTTCTTCCTCTCCCCTTCTGTCTTCAGTCAGTCTGGAAAAATAATGTGGTGAGGTAGTTTGCAACTATCAACTATCCTGATCCTAACGTGAATACCTAGTGTGATAAACTGTGTAGGCTGATGTCCTCCTCCCTATCTCCCTGTATGGCTCATTAAGAAACTTAAAATATTTTTTTTTTTCCTCCCCTGAAATATTCTTCTTCAGTATTATTCAAATAGTTAAATTCAGACAGCTCTTTGGAAAGTTAAAAACCAAAAACCCTTGTCCTTTATTTTACCAAGTAAATCTTTGTACCTCCTCTGCTTGTTTTTGCTGAAGAATTATTACACTGTGCAAACAGTATCGGTGTTTGGCACATTTCACAAATGCTAATGTGTATACTTTCCCCCCTCCTCCCCTCTTCTCCTGGTTTTCTCTCTGTTCTTCATTTGCTATTGGAATGGGATCTGTGGAAAAATTCCTTGGCACTCTGACACCAGAATCCTTCATCTTGGAGAGACCACGATGATGCAACCTCAACACACTCGGCAGGCACACCGGGGCCCTCCAGTGGGGGCCACGCTTCCCAGAGCGGAGACAACAGCAGCGAGCAAGGTAAAAGGTCAAACTTTTTCCCTCCGCAAAGTAGGCATGACTAAAATAACTCCAGCTTTTTTTATTATATCAGTACATCTGCCTTAGAGTAAATATGGAGTGGCAGACTTGTAGCATAATCGGCTGTAACTTGGGGAGACGGTATTTCCTTTTCCTAACCCACTTAGTTGTATTTTATTATTATTTCAAAGCAAAATATCTAATCTTCAAACAAGCTTTGTAATAACAATTGATTAGTTCTGCCAATTCCTTTACAAATTTGGTTATCTACAGTTTATTTTTGTGCGGTGTAAGTAAATATAAAGATAGACATACTCTCCAGCTGTGATGCAGTTGCTTGAGCTGGGTTATAGACAAAGAATTTAACATGTAGTTTTAGCTGAGGGAGAGACTCCTGTAGAGTTATGAAGCTGATAAATTACATAAGGTAGAAGCAAAGCCTGAACTGGATGGAATAATGTTTCTTGCAATGTTTGCTTGTACAGACTTATTTCTGCTTCTAAAAATTTGAATGCAGAATGGTTAATAGAGAGATATCTGAGCTGCAAATCCTCGGCTGGTTCTATGCAATCCAGTCTCCTCAAGGATTCAGGAGGCTTGATTATTACTTCAGGGGGGTTTGTTTTATTTCTTACTGCATTGCACCTTGTGTGTGGTCATCTGCATCCATGCTGAGTGAGTGTCAAAGGCTGTCATTCTGATAGGACAGTGTTTTACACTAGCTCATTAGAAGTATAAGTGACTCCAGAAGGTATAACAGTCAAGACTCCAGTGCTAAAAGTTGAGTAAAAATGTGCTACCTTCACTCTTGGATCATGTCTCAGATTTTTTTTTTTTTAAAGATCAAAATCTAAGGTAGGCTCTGTTCTTGTTCTCGTTTTTAAACATTGGAAACCTCAGCTAGTGAATGAGACATCACCTTTCTAAGTTCTTACAATACGCTCCCTCCATCTCATGCACCTGTAGCATTTTGTAGCTGTGTTTCTCCCACATGGAGATTACACATACCAACCAGAGCCAACTGACAGGTCTGCCATCCACCTAGCCATGCAGGATCCCAAAACTGGAGAAGGGAGCAGTTTTCAGGGCTGAGATGCCATGACTAGCTTTGTGCTGCGAGCCGATTCCCACAAACTTTTGCCACGCTTAGGCAGTGGAGCAGATACATGCTTTCACGTTTCTCTCATGGCCTGCTGCTTGGCACAGAGCTAGATCCCCACATCTGTCTCATGATCTGGTGTTCTACCAGTTGTAATTGTAGGAGCTTGCAAAGTTTGTTTCTTGTAGAGCGGTTTGGCTTTGTCTTCTATTTGTGTGAATTGTTTATACATTTTTAATCCTGTTGCTCTTGTTGAGAGCAGCCATGGCACAGGGTGTGATCCAAATCCAGTAGGAGTCATGTGGGATTTCTTCTCTATGGTTGGATTGGAGCTGTACGAGGTCCAGCATGAACTATTACAGCTTCAGTAGCTAATGAAAGGGAGAGCTTGACTGCACAGCAGCCAGTCTGTGTGTTGTCTAGTAGCTGACCATGGACTTTACTATTGATCAAACGTTTACATAGTATATTGTGGCTAAGATTCTTGGTGTGGCAGATGATCACTTGAATACTTAAAAATTATTTCTCTGAGTCATCTGCCACAGTGTGCTCATTCCACCCCTAGGCAAGAAACTTCTTCACACCTGCATCTCCACTTTGGTCCAGCAAGCCCACAGAAATTAGAGTTTCTTCATTGAGCTGTGCTTGATAGAAAGAAATCCCTTGTATCGACATCCAGGGATCTTGCATTTCATTAATCTCTGATCCCTTGTCATGTAGCTCAGAGTGCTCAAGAAATATTGCTAAGCATAAGAAAAAGTAGTTAACTACACCAACTTCTCATTGGAGACTGAGGTTTCTGTTAGTATATATGTAATTTAAACTTATACTCCCTTCTGCAGAAGGGGAACAACCGCTGATGGGCCAAATCAGTCCCCAGTACTGCCCAGTCTAGCAGGGTAAAACATCACAAGTGTGCTTCCCTTTGTGCTCAGTTGGGCCTTTAAAAGGGAAGCGGTCGTCCAGTGACAAATCAGCATTCCACTCAGCTGCTGGCAGCTGAAAGATGTATGATCCTACAGCACTGTCAAAATTCCCTTTGGAGACAGCTTTGGATTGCTCTGCCCCTCTCAACCCTGGGAAAGACTAAAGAGAGGGAGGCCTTTATTGAATTTTCCTCATGTTTCCTTGAGGGAGGCAGGGTTTACTTTATAACTCATGAATTGGCAGTGAGTCAGTCCCAGGCAATGCCAATATGGGTAGATGCCCTCTTGAGCTATTCTGAGGTAGTTACTTATTTGGGTCAACCTCGTTTCCCTGCAGTTTTATGAAGACTTTCCACAGATGCTGCTTCAAGTACTCCACTTGCCCCAAAGGATTTCTTGGGAATGGGAGCTCATTAGAGAGTCTTGGGTTATATTAGTAACTTATGGTCTTGAGACTCCACTGATGCCCGGTGGCAGCAGAGATTGATTCAGACTAGAATCTCCTCTGGCTCTTAGGAGAACTCTTTGCAGGGGTCTCTGCTTTTGCCTAAATTCTATGATGTGCAGCTCGTGATAATTTTTAATTATTTTTTTTTTCTATTTTTTGGGAGAGGTAGATTGAAAGGAGTTGGGTGAGTGATGACAGTATTTTTGCAGACTTTCTTTGCATGAGGTGGATGTATTTATTAGACAGAAGAATCCATCCATAATTCTTAAAGTTAGAACCAAACAAAAATGGTGTAGGCATTTTGTCTGTCTCCAGAGGACAGCCTCTCCACGACAAAGCACTACTGCCCTTTGGCATCAAAAGGGTTAATCTAGTCAATGTTTGATATTATTAGAAACATGTTAGCATTGAAAGAGTTAAGGAAAGGGCCTTCAGGCATTGAATGCTGAAAGATTACCCTAATTTTATTAGTGGTGAGTGTCTGTGTTTGTTCTTAACATGTCACCTCAGTTGTTCAGCAGAAAGCTAAGCTATACAACATATTGATCATCTAGCAAACCAAAATACTAGTGACCTGTAATCTACCAAGCATTTATTGGCTTTATCCTAGATTGGATCCACAAATGCACATCAATGCTGTGTAATACTATGTTAGAGATTAGCAATTATGTGTTAGGTCTGATCAACTTCCCCCCCTGCTCTGGAGAGAGAAAGAGTTAAATATACCCAATAATAAAAATAAAGCTTTCTAAATATCTTACAAGGGAGAAAAAGAAGCTGATTTAATGGTCTAATGAGGCCATCTTCCAGAGACTTGTTTTGTGTAGGGCTTGCTTTGACCTTTCACTTTGCTCAGGAGCCCAACGCTTCATTTTTCACATTCTTGCAATTACGTTAACGCTTCAAGCATTTCTGACTCCAAGTCAGCTAGCAACACCAGGCATAACTCAACACTGTGAGTTTTTCTCCTCTCTGTAGATTCATTAACAGGTCACCGGGGTCCCAACTGAAATTTAAAACTGACTGGTTCTGTTGGGTTAGCTGAGTTATAGCAAGGGAGATGTCAGGAAAGGGGCTGAGAGAAGGGGAGGGGAGAGAAAAGACCCTGGGGTTTTTGCCAGGGAATATATGTGTAAAAACCCTAAGTGGAAGATTAAAAGGTGTGTGTAGCTTTGTCAACCACCCTTTTCTTTGGAGGGAAAAAGCCACATATGAAGGTCTTCTGGGGTATCATGTTTTCCTTATTCTTTGTGAAACAAAGTGAAAATGACCACTGCCTTTACATACAAGGCTAAATGACTTCTAGAATTCGGCATCAGTTTGTACAACAGTGATGGATATGATGCTCCCAGACTTTAAGTCCTATTTAATCTCTTTATGGGATATTTCGAATAATGAATATGGCAGATTATGCATGAAAAGTGGGAAATAAATCTTTTTAAGGTTTAAAAACATGTGGTCTACAGGAAAACACCAGGGAATAATTTCAGTTTCACATTTTATGATACCAGGGTTTTATATCTGATTTGTCATATTCTTAGTTCAGTCACTCAAAGGATGTGATCCAGTCAAGTCAGAGGCTGTGTTTCCTCAGGACCTCTCAGGAAGCTCAGCATCTTCTTAGGATTAGGCCTGGGGTGATAAACTTGACCATAAGCGAGAAGCCAGAGACAAGAAACTTTTAGGTTATGCAGCAGTAAATATATAAATGGCCGTCACAGCCACTTTGCTTTACCCATGTGAGTAGTTCATTGGTGTGTGGTTTTTTTGGTTTGGTGGTTTATTTGGACTTTTTATGGAACTATTTGTGCTGAATGCAGATCTGCCCTTTTATAAATATCTGAAGCAACACTCCAGGGCAATATCTTAAAGTAATTTTGAAATGATTTTGTGACAGCTTGATGTTTATCCCACAAATCTGTCCACAGTAGCTTTCTGTGGAAAAGACTGCTTATCTGGTCCAGGACAAAGTCAGCTAAGATAACCTGGGATGAATTTCAGGTAATATGTCTCTGGATTGATGCATGTTGGAGAAACTAGGTAATATATTTGTTACTCATTTTATACCACCTTGTAATAAAGATGGTATACAAATAAAACTTGTTTACAGAACTATCTGATAATACCTAAAGGCCTGTCCTATTATCAAAATTACATAAAGCTTTGAACTAAACTTCAGTAGTCGGAAAAAAATAAGTTGCTGTTAAAAGAAAAAAAACCAAACACGCACACGAAAAACCAAACACATTAATGCAAAGACTTTGGAAGTTTTATATCCAAAAGCTAATGCTACAGCTTCTTTTTCCCTTGTTCTATGTGTACAGGTAAGCCTTCTGAGGCTACTATGCATATTCATCCTAAGGATTCAGAACATATTTTTGTTCCTTTGTATTTTTACCTATAAAGCTATAGGGTATGGTTTTATTGGAGAAGAGCTGCCTTTTATAAGAAAGGAGATTCCTAATAGAAAGGCTCAAACATCCAGACTGTGAAAAATCAAACTAACTAATAAATAATGCTTCACTGG